CACCGTTGCTGGCTTGAACTGCAATTCTCTTACAATTAGCGGTGTCGAACATTTTTTCACGTATCTGTTGGTCATCTGCATGTTTTCTTTTAAGAGATGTCTATTCAAGCCCTTAGACCCCACCACCCCCCGCTTTTTTTTTTTGAGACAGAGTCTCACTCTGTTTCCCAGGCTGAAGTGCAGTGGCGCCATCCAGCTCACTGCAACCTCTGCCTCCTAGGTTCAAGCTATTCTCCTGCCTCAGCCTCCTGATGGGCTGGGATTACAGGCATGTGCCACCAAGCACAGCTAAGTTTTGTATTTTTAGTAGAGGCGGGCTTTCACCATGTTGTCCAGGCTGGTCTTGAACTCCTGACCTCAAGTGATCCACTTGCCTTGGCCTCCCAATGTGCTGGGATTATAGGTGTGAACCACCACATCCAGCCATTTGCCCTTTTTAAAATAGGGTTATTTGTTTCCTTGTTATTGAGTAGTTTGAGTTCCTTATACATTTTGGATATTGGCCCGTTATCTGATCTGTAAATTGCAAATATTTTCTTCTAATCTATGGGTCACCTCTTCACTCTATTATTTCATTTGTTGGCAGAAGCTTTTTAGTTTGATACAATCCCATTCATCTATTTTTGCTTTTGTTCCTTGTGCTTTTGGGGTCATATCCAAGAAATTGCTGATGTTTTCTTCTAGTACTTCTATAGTTCAGGCTTAACATTTAAACTTTAATCCATTTTGAGTTGATTCTTGCATAAGGGGTGAAATAAGAGTTATTTTATAATAAGATAGTAAGTTATCCTTCTGTGTGTGGATATCAGGTTTTCCCAACACCATTTATTGAAGACTGTCCTTCCTCTGCCACTCCCTTTATCTTTTTTGTAAAAAAGAAATGATCTGCTTGGCGTGGCGGCTCATGCTGTATTCCCAGCACATTAGGAAGCCAAGGTGGGCGGATCACTTGAGGTCAGACATTTGAGACCAGCCTGGTCAACATGGCGACCCCATCTCTACCAAAAATACAAAAATTAGCCGGGCGTGGTGGTGGGTGCCTGTAATCTCAGCTTCTCGGGAGGCTGAGGCACAAGAATCACTTGAACCTGGGAGGCGGAGGTTGCAGTGAGCTGAGATGGCGCCAAGGCATTTCAGTCTGGGAGACAGAGCGAGATTTTATCTCAAAAAAAAAAAAAAAAAAAAAAGGCAGGGGGAGGGGCTAAGGGCTTGAATAGACATCTCTCAAAAGAAAACATGCAGATGACCAACAGATTTGTGAAAAAATGTTCAACACCACAGTACTCCAGCCTGGGTGACAAGAGCCAGACTCCATCTCAAAGAAAAAAAGAAAAGAAGAGAAAAGAAAAGAATCTATCCATGTTTACATTTGATTCTGTCCATGCCACAGTCACCATTAGCAACAGAAATGAAAAGTGGGAGGAATCATCACCTAAAAAAAAAATCACATCTTTTTTTTTTTTTCAGCTCCTAGGGGAGTCCAACATGTATTATATTCCAGATTATCTTACTGAGGGACAAAACGCTTTGGTGAATTTTTTTGTGGCAAAATAAACATAACATAAAATTCACTATCTTAACCATTCGTAAGTGCATAGTTCTATGGTGTTAAGGACATATCATGTCAGGCAACTGTCACCACCATCCCCCTCCAGAACTTCTTCGTCTTGGAAAACTAAAACTATGTGCTCATTAATCCCCTTCCCAATTCCCCTCCCACAACCCCTCACCACCACCATCCACTCTCTGTCTCTCTGAATCTGACTACTCTAGGCACCTCTTCTAAATGGAATCATGCAGTATTTGTCTTTTTGTGACTGGCTTATTTCACAGCATAATATCATCCAGGTTTGCTTTGATGAATTCTTTTACTGATAACATACTCTGTGCCAGAGCTGGGCTAAAGGCTTCATACAGATTGTCCCATTTAATAAATCATGAGGTAGGAGCTTGCTCTCTGGCAGTTTAACAGAGGGTGAAACCAAGGCTTAAGGTGGTTAAGTCATTTGTACATGGAGCCAGTACCTGCCACTACCTGCCTCGAGTGACCTGGAACCCACCCATGCCTGCCCACCTCCTGGCAGCCACACGATGTGACGGCCTTTCAGAGCCCCCCCCACCTGTACTTCATCTTCCTTGGCTCAGTCACCCGGCCAGTGAAGGCGTCTGGTAACAGCAGAACAAATGAGTTCCAATGTATAATTTGACTCAAATTGAAGACGTATATACTTGAAAGTGATTTGTCTTTCTTGTATCTTATAAAAAAAAACATTTCTACGTGAGCTCTAGTCATGAAAGTGAGTGACTATAGTTGACGAAAACAAACGCAGATGCATGAAATGTGTTTTGTTTTGTTTTTGAGATGGGACGGGGGTCTCAATCTGTTGCCTGGGCTCGGGTGTCGTGATCATGGCTCATGGCACCCTTGACCTCCTGGGCTCAGGCAATCTTCCTGCCTCAGCCACCACATCTGGCTAATTTTAAAATTATTATTATTATTTTTGAGACGGAGTCTCGATGTATCACCAGGCTGGAGTGCAGTGGCCCAATCTTGCGTCACTGCAACTTCCACCTCCCAGGTTCAAGTGATTCTCCTACCTCAGCCTTGAAAGTAGCTGAGACTACAGGTGTGCACCACCATGCCCAGCTAATTTTTGTAGTTTATAGTAGAGATGGGATTTCACCATGTTGGTCAGGATGGTCTCAATCTCTTGACCTCATGATCCACCAGCCTTGGCCTCCCAAACTGCTGGGATTACAGGTGTGTGCCACTGTGCCTGGCCGATTATTATTATTTTTTAATAAAGATGGGGTTTCTCCGTGTTGCCCAGACTTGTCTCAAACTCTTGGGGTCAAGCAATCCTCCCACCTCAAAGTGCTGGGATTACAAGAATGAACCACCGCACCTGGCCATGTGTTGTTTGTTTGCGTGTATGTGGTGTTTTTTGTTTGTTTGTTTTTTGAGATGGAGTTCTGCTCCGTCACCCAGGCTGGAGTGCAATGGCACCATCTCAGCTCACTGCAACCTCCACCACTCGGGTTCAAGGGATTCTCTTGCCTCAGCCTCCCAAATAGCTGGGATGACAGGTGCCCACCGCCATGCCTGGTTAATCTTTGTATTTTTAGCAGAGATGTGGTTTTGCCATGTTGGCCAGGTTGGTCTTGGATTGCTGACCTCAGACGATCCACCCTCCTTGGCCTCCCAAAGGGCTGGGATTACAAGATTACAGACGTGAGCCACTGCGCCTGGCCTTTTTTTTTGAAACAGGGTCTTGTTCTGTTACCCAGGTCAAAGTGCAGTGGCACAATCGTAACTCACTGCAAGCTTGAATTCCTGGGTTCAAGCCATCCTTCCACCTCAGCCTATCAAAATGCAGATATTACAGATGTAAGTCACCGTGTCCAGCCTGAAATGTTTCCACTAAAAAATGAAATAAAAAATTGGATTTTACCTATTTAAGAACTTTCTCTATGTGCTGCTAAAACAGTCTTTTAACAAAATTATAATAAAGTCAAATATAATCAACAACCAGACATAAGAATCCTATATTGTGGGCTGGGCGCGGTGGCTCAAGCCTGTAATCCCAGCATTTTGGGAGGCCTAGGAGGGTGGATCACGAGGTCAAGAGATTGAGACCATCGTGGACAACATGGTGAAACCCCGTCTCTACTAAAAATGCAAAAAATTAGCTGAGCATGGTGGCGCGTGCCTGTAATCCCAGCTACTCAGGAGGCTGAGGCAGGAGAATTGCCTGAACCCAGGAGGCGGAGGTTGCAGTGAGCCAAGATCGCGCCATTGCACTCCATCCTGGGTAACAAGAGCAAAACTCCGTCTCAAAAAAAAAAAAGAATCCTATATTGTGTGGTCAAACAAAGATTATGAGGCTACATCAGTATATAAAGTAGCTTAAAAAAAGTTTTGTTGATATATAATTCACATAGCATACAATTCAACTATTTGTATTGTATGCTTTGATAAATTAGTTTTTTGCTTGGATGAAAATTGCTGTACTTTCTGACCACCTTACATTTCTTTGATTGATTTGGCTGATGAGAATCAAACTTAAGCCCAGAGTTCCTTTGTGACATGGACTGTCAAATTCCACATTAATAATGTATTTGTTTGTCTTTTGTCAATGTTGCTTCTAAATCCATGACTATTTAATTTTGTAACGTTTCGTGTCTTAAAAGTTACTGACTGGCATGGTGGCTCGTGCCTGTAATCCCAGTACTTTGGGAGGCCGAGGTGGGTGGATCTTGAGGTCAGGAGTTCAAAACCAGCCTGAAACCCGGTCTCCACTAAAATACAAAAATTAGTTGGGTGTGGTGGCACATGGCTGTAGTCCCAGCTACTCCTGAGGCTGAGGCAGGAGAATCACCTGCAACCGGGAGGCGGAGGTTGCAGTGAGCTGAGACCTTGCCATTGTGCTCCAGCCTGGGTAACAGAGTGAGACTCTATCTTAAAAACAAAACAAAACAAAACAAAACAAACACCCTAACAACATGAAGAGCACATCTGGCTCTAATGCTGAGAGTGGAATATGGCCCCTGTTGCCTTTGGTTATGGGAACGGTTTGGTTGGAAACAGTGAACATGCTGAGATCTTTGCTCCCTGGATTAGAACCTTAAGCCTGTGCTTGTTCATTACACAAATATTCTGGATCTGCTTCTCCCACAGGCATTTAAAACACGTGAAGGTGGTGTTGCATAAAAAGCAAGCTCGTGTGTTCAGCAAATACAACCAAGTGAGCAGAGACAGCGCCACTCACTCGCCTAGAGGAGAGCTGGGCGTCCCACTGTCTCCTGTGGAATATAAGCAATGGACATCGAGAAGGTCAACTCCATGGACTTTGGAGAATTCGTAGATGTGTTTGGGAATGTCATTGAGAGATGTCCTCTGATTGCAGCAGCTGTTTGGTCCCAGCGACCCTTCTTGGATTTGGAAGATTTACAGAAGCACTTTTTTGCCGTTATTGATGCCCTTCCACAGTCAGGTAAGGCTTCAGTATCAGACATCTCTGCAAAGGGATTTCAAATATGCTTATGAAAATATTTTTACATATTGGCCAGGCATGATGGCTCACACCTGTAATCCCAGCACTTTGGGAGGCTGAGGTGGGAGGATCACTTGAGCCCAGGAATTTGAGACCAGTCTGGGCAATATGATGAGATCCGTCACTACAAAAATTGTTAAAAATCTATCTACTGGCCGGTCATGGTACCTCACACCTGTAATCCCAGCGCTTTGGGAGGCCAAGGAGGGTAGATCGCGAGGTCAGGAGTTCGAGGCCCAGCCTAGTCAACATGGTAAAACCCCATCTCTACTAAAAATACAAAAATTGGCAAGGTGTGGTGGTGCATGCCTGTAGTCCCAGCTACTCAGGAGGCTGAAACAGGTGAGTCGCTTGAATCTAGGAGGTGGAAGTTGTAGTGAGCTGAGATTGTACCACTGCACTCCAGCCTGGGTGACAGGGTGAGACTCTGTCTAAAAAAAAAAAAATTATCTATCTATCTATCTATCTATCTATCTATCTATCTATCTATCTATCTATCTAGAGACTTTAGCCTAGTTTCTTGTACTTGATGTGTTTATTGAGCTTTTTCCTTTGGAAAGTTCAGTAAGTTTCCTTAGGGTCTAGTCCGTGAGAGTCAAGCACTTGCATGGCTTTTGTCAGACATGGGCTGGAAGAATGAATTGGCTAAGGTAAGTGGCTGTTAAATATTAGAGCTTTGAGGTCACAAGGAGCAACCTGGCAAAAGGCATCAGAGTGATTCAGAGGCCAAAGGCCAGGCTGAGGGCCCACGCTCTCAGCTACCCGATTTGGCTTGGGAATGTCCTGTATGGACAGAGAGGATAGCTAGATATCAGACTATCTCTACAGCCCAGGGGAAAGGGCAATCGGCCTACTTTTGTACCAGAAAGGGCCAGTTTGGACCGGACGGCCAAGGAGAGTGAATTCATTCAGATCAGCAACTCCCTGAGGGGTGTAGGGGAAGAAGGAGAAGCTGACAGCATCTCTCTGGAGAAGGAAAAAGAAGTTATCGATTTCTTCTGGGGAGAGAGGGAGGAAATGAGGCACTTCTGGGTGTGAGGTGGGGAGAAGAGAAGGTGACTCTGAATGGTACACACAGCGTCACAGAGACCAGTCTGCCGCAGGGGCTGTCCTGGATGCTCTGTGGAGAAGTCTGAAGTGTGCTGAAGGGGTGGCGAGGGGCAGAGAGGCTTCCCTCCATGGACATCTGGGAAGGAGAGCTGCTGCTCTCTGCTTCAAAAAGGAGCTAATAGACAGTGCTGCCCATCAGGATGGGCTGTGACAGCCAGATGGCTTCTGACCGTCACACAGAGGTCTCCAAAATGGGGAGCTCCTTTTAATTCATTTGAGGGTTATCTAGGAAAAGTAGAGGATGCCATAAAAGCAAACGGATGGGAATGTCAGAGCCATGGGGACACTCACCCACTTCTGGGGACCTCTCTACAGCTGAGCACTTCAGCTCGGTCACTGGGCTTGAGGATCAGCACTGGCCTCCTGACCCTTGACTCACAGGGACAACCCAGCCCCAGCCTGATGAGGAGGGGACTGCAGCCGCTCAGCTGAGCTCCTACAGGGCAGGCAGGAAGGAGCCGGAGGTCCCGGAGCCCAAGCTCCTGACATCTGACAGGAGACTACAATAGAGGAGGCAAAATGACAGCCTCACAGGAAAGTAATTTCCTATCAGGAAAAAAAAAGAGGGGGGAGAAAGAAAGAAAAAGAGGCAAATCCCATGATTGTCTTTTTTTGTGAGACGGAGTTTCGCTCTTGTTGGCCAGGCTAGAGTGTAATGGTGCAATCTCAGCTCACTGCAACCTCCTGGGTTCAGGCGATTCTCCTGTCTCAGCCACCTGAGTAGCTGGTATTATAAGCATGTGCCACCAACCTGGCTAAGTTTTGTAATTTTGGTAGAGATGGGGTTTCTCCATGTTGGTCAAGGCTGATCCCGAACTCCCGACCTCAGGTGATCCACCAGCCTCAGCCTCCCAAAGTACTGGGATTACAAGTGTGAGCCACCATGCCCAGCCCCCCATGATTGCCTTAATACCCAAAAGAGTGGTGAGGCTGAGGACGAAGCATGCTGAGAGAGAAAGTTAGGATCATATGAATAATTTAAATCTATTATTCTTAAGTTTGGCCAGTTATTTAACACATTTTTTTTGGGTTTATTACTCTGTGTCTGTAACTTTGATAAAAACATAAAAATTCCTCCATTTTCATCTTATTTATTACCAACAATCCCCCCAGCCCATCTGGCCGGAGGTTCTAGTTATGGGCCAATCCAGTCAGGGCCCTGAGCGCAATGGGGTGTGGGCATGGGCTTCCCCGCTCCTGAGGCTTGTTTTGATGCCCCCGTGACTTGACGAAACCTCTGTCTCCTGGCTAGTGTCAGAATCCCAGATCACAGAGTGAACAGTATATTGGGATTTGATCAAGGTTTGCTGAATGAATGCATGAAATAGTTTCTAAGGTGATATTGAAAGATGAGGATTCTGGCATTACCCCCACAACACACACACATTTTAACTATAGCGACTTTAGTGGTAGGTCAGTAGGTAAGATGGCTGGAGGGGGTTTGGGCCCCTGAACGGTTGCTGGCTTCTGCAGGAGACACGGTTCTGGGGAGGAGCACCCTGTGGTGCAGCCTGCGTCTCAGTTCTGCACTTGTCATCTCTGGGGCAGCTGGGAGCCTCAATGCTGTCGGGCGGCTGCTCCTAATCTTATCATCTGAGTGACAGTAGATGAGTGTTGTTACCAACGGTGACAACAACAAGTACAACAAATAGTGAAAATTTATTGAACTTTTGCTACTGGTGTGTTTCAGGCACTTTTCCAAAAACTTTGCACTTGTTAACCACTTGAATCCTCCAATATCCCTGTAAAATAAGGAATAGTATTATTATTGCCCCCATTTTTACCGATGGAAAAACTGAGACACACAGAGATGAAGTAACTTGAGCAAGGACTCACTGCTAGAAAGTGACAGGACTGGAATTCTAATAACCCTGAGAGGCAGCCCAACAGCTTGTGAAGAAAGTGGCAGACCTGGGAGTCAACCCAACGGGCTTTGAAGCCTTTTTCCAGACAATCAGAACAAAGTCTAGAAATAGTTTTTAGAGTTTTCATTCATTTATCTGCTAATGTATTTGATTAACATAAATGCTTGATGTCCCAGACCCCATGTTTTATTGTTTAAATAATCAAATAAAATGATCTATTTCACAGCATGGTGACTATAGTCAATAATAATCTATTGTATACTTGCAAAAGAAAAAAAAGGCTTTATTTTTATTTTTAAATTGAGGCAAGTATTATTCTGTCACCCAGGCTGGAGTGCAGTGGTGCCATCTCAGCTCACCGCATCCTCCCCTTCTGGGGTTCAAGCGATTCTCCTGCCTCAGCCTCCCTAGTAGCTGGGATGACAGGCACGTGCCACCATACCCAGATAATTTTTGTATTTTTGGTAGAGATGGAGTTTCGCCATGTTGGCCAGGCTGGTCTCAAATTCCTGACCTCAAGTGATCTGCCCACCTTGGCCTCTTAAAGTGCTGGGGTTACAGACATGAGCCACCTTGCCCCACCTTCAAGAGAGTAGATTTTAAATGTTCTTACTACCAAAAAATGATAAATATGTGAGGTGATAGACACATTAAAAAGCTTCATCATTTCGCAATGTATACATGTATGAAGACATCAAATTGCATACTGTAAGTACATATAATTTTTATTTTTATCAAAAAACCAATAAAATGGGATTTATTACTCTAGCTTTACCCCTTGGATGGTAAGAAACAAAATGGTTGAAATAGATTCTTTGAATTCTAAAACTAAGGGAACTTAGAGAGACGTTGAGGATACAGTGGTCTACTTAGTCACGTATTTGTTTTGGTGACTGAAGGAAGCCCTCCACCATTAACAGAAAACAAAATTGGGGCCAGGCACAGTGGCTCACGCCTGTAATCCCAGCACTTTGAAAGGCCAAGACGGGCGGATCATGAGGTCAGAAGTTTGAGACCAGCTTGACCAACATGGTGAAACCCCATCTTTACTAAAAATACAAAACATAGCTGGGCATGGTGGTGCTTGCCTGTAGGTAGGCTGAGGCAGAAGAATCGCTTGAACCTGGGAGGTGGAGATTGCAGTGAGCGGAGGATCGCACCACTGCACTTCAGCAAGAAAGAAAAGAAGAAGAAAAAAAGAAAGAAAAAAAAGAAAGAAAGAAAGAAAGAAAAATGAAGAAAGAAAGGAAGGGGGAAGGAAAGAAGGAAGAGAGAGAGAGAGAAAGAAAGAGAAAAGGAAAGGAAGGAAGGAAAAGAAACAAAAAGAAATTGGGTTTCTAGACTAAGGCTGAGTCCATTTAGGGTCTGCTATGATAATTATTGGCCAGTAGATGGCAGTCCAGGATTACTGTTGAGCCCTAGTGCTACTGGGCAAAGTACTTTCTCCAGCCAATCAGTTCCTATAGATTGAAGATAAGGCAAAGGTTTTCCAGACAAGAGAACTGACAATTAGTAAAGGGAAGAAAGTTGAAACACACATGCACTAACCTGAACAAATTCAGTACGGATTTGTGTTATAAACTTAAAGAGCAATACAACTTTCCTAAGAGTTAATTAATTGCATTTCTGCTGGCTATAGCGACTCACACCTGTAATCCCAGCCCTTTGGGAGTCTGAGGTGGGAGATCACTTGAGCCCAGAAGGTTGAGGCTGCAGTGAGCCATGATCGCACCACTGCACACCAGCCTGGATGACAGAGCAAGAACCCTGTCTCAAAAAAAAAAATGCATTTCTATGCATTTCAGAATTATAGTAATTCCACAGTTTATCACTTTATGCTTATTAAACAACACTTTTGTGAATGAATGGAGTTTGATATTAATAAGTTCCTTATAATTTGGCTATGAGAATATAAGTTTTGGATGAAGCTATTAAAATGGGTTTGTTAATTCAGTCAAAAACAAAACAAAACACTTCTTACCAAAAGCGCTGTGTTGCTCAAAAAATACTTACCGAGTACCCACTGTGCCCCAGGCATTGTTGTGAGCACTGGGAATGGGGGTCAGTGACCAAGGCAGGTCCCTGCCTTAAATGAGCTTATATTCTAGTGAAGAGAGACAGGATTAACACTAAAAATACCATTATTTCAAGTTCTAGAAGTTCTCAGAAAAAATATGTGTAACATGGCAGAAAATATGTAATAAAGGAGGTCTTTCTTAGGAAGTTGAAATTTAAGACCGATGGATGAGAAATAAGTAACTGAAATCTAGGATGGGGCCACTCTTAGAAAAAGAACCTGGCTGGCTGTGGTGGCTCATGCCTGAAATCCCAGCACTTTGGGAGACTGAGGTGGGTGGATCACTTGAGGTCAGGAGTTCGAGGCCAGCCTGGCCAACATGGCAAAACCCTGTCTCTACTGAAAATGCAAAATTAGCTGGGCATGGTAGCACACATCTGTAATCCCAGCTACTTGGGAGGCTGAGGTAGGAGAATCAATTGAACCTGGAGAGTGGAGGTTGCATTGAGCCGAGATCACACCACTAAACTCCAGCCTGGGCGACAGGACAAGACTCTGTCTCAAGAAGAAAAAAAGAAAAAGAACCTGAGACCAGGATGAACTTGACATTTTGGGGGCACAGAAAGAGCAAGGTGGTTGGAAAGTAGTAAGGAGTGGAGGAATGTGAGGAAGAAGAGGCAGCAAGGGCCGGATCACGTAGAGCTGCTTCGGTCTAATAAGGAACTCTCTTCTCTGTTTGCAGTGGGTCACTGGGGTTTATGCTTTAGGGTGGTGATGTAGGGCTGCGTCAGATGCAGGGGCCGGGCTGAGGGACGCTGCAGTGGTCCGCGTAAGAGATGAGGTTGCTCAGATTATGGTCGCAGCAGCAGAGATGGAGAGATGCGACTGGGTTTGCAGAATGGGGCTTATAGTTAGAGTCAACAGGATTTTTTTAAAAAAATGCGTTTGATGGCAGAAGGCAGATTAGAAACAAAGCTGAATGAAGGGTCACTCCTACGTTTTCAGTCTGAGTAGCTGTGTGGGTGGTGGTGCCATTTTCTGAGGCGAGGAAGACTTGGAGTTGAGAAGACAGGATGGAGGAAGGGGTTTGCTGAGTCTGAGATACCAAAAAAATCATCCAAATGAAAATGCTGACTGCTCAGTTGCATCGAAACAGAGGAGCTTGGTGAAACACTGAGGTCTGAACTATATCTGGGTGTCATCAAGGAATGGATGGCATTTCCAACCCTAGGACTGGCTGAGGACCCTCAGTACATTGGTGTAAGTAGTGAAGGGATGAGATGTGGGTACTGAATCCTGGGGTACTTCCATGCTAGTGACCTATCTGGCAGAGCAAGATGAAAGTTGGTCGGGGTGTCTCTGAAGGCAACTGATAGTCATTTTTTAAGGAGAGAGGGCCCACCAGGTGACACAGTCTGAAGAGGCTGAGAAAGAAGAGGTCAGGCACCAGTCTTGGGACCCAGGCAAGATGTCCTTAATCAGTGCAGATGGGTTGGTGGAGGGGCTCCAAGCTTGACAGAGTGAGGCTGGAAAGGGAGGTGAGAAGTGGAAAGACCAGAAGACAACTCCTTTAAGGCCTTTTCTGTAAGGAGGAGCAGAGAAACAGGGAGAAACAAAGAGCAACAGGGAATCAAAGGAGAACTTTAATACTGTTTATGGGATGAGTGATTCTAACACATGTTTACACATTGATAAGGGTGAGGGGTTTGGGGATGGAGAAATAGATATTTGAAATTGCAGAAGCAAACTCTTTGAGAGGAAAGGAGAAGCTAGCTTCAAGAACATGAATGGAGGGGTTGGCCTTCCATAGGAAGAACAGATTATCCATTGTAAAAGGAGTAAGAACACACCCACCTGTCACTGGGTATGGACAGGGAAGGCAGTTGGATTATTATGGGATTCTGGGCTTCCACAGGCACAATTGCCTACCCTGTTCCTCTCCCATGGAACAATGAGTGTGTGCTCTGTGCCAGGAATTCTTCTAGGTGCAAATATTCAGGTCCTATGGTCCCAGCAAATAACACCCATCCATATCTGCACCTCTAGATGTGATGTACAAATGTCTTAGGAGGTAAGTCTAGAATTTCAGGAAAGACTGAAGAACAGGAAGCACCTAGATTCCCAGAGAACCACGGGCTGCCTGACTGATGTGGCTGGTGCCTGGACTTCTAGGTAGGGACACTGACGGCTGGAGGTGGAGAGATGACACCTACTTCACCAGTCTCCAGTCTCCCACTGGGTCTTACGGGCGCAGCTTAGGGATAGCATGCTGGCGCACGCCCGGAGCTTCATTGAGATTTTCAGCTTCATTGAGATATAATTTATTGCTGCAGGCCAGTAGGTGACATTCCCAGTGTACCTAAGGGTCCAGTGGTTTGGGGCAATGAAGATGGGGTATCTCACCAGGTGAGGCCAGGCTCTGCTTCTTCTGAGCTACCACTCTCTCTCTACCTGATTCCCCATGCCTTTTTCTTGTTAGGCGCTGCGGCTGAGACAGAGAGAGAGTTTAGAGAGAGAAAGAGAGAGAGAGTAAATTCCAGTTTCTCCTTTTTAGTCTCTTTTCTTATGCCCTTTGCTCTGCTTGTTCCTCTGCGTCTTTTCTCTTCTTGCCGCTGCAAGAGTGGAAAACTCATGCTCAGTTTTAGACAAACATTAACTCCGGGCGATGTTTCCAAGCGGCAGACAAACTAGAGAGTGAGAAGCGAGATGCCAGGACACCGAGGGCAAAAAGGGGCTCGGGCGTGTGCGGGGCTGGCCTCCGAGGCGCCACCGCATCCCTCTGCTCCGAGGCCTGCACGGGGAGCCTGGTGGGGGCGGCAAGAGGACAGACCCCATGCCCGGGCCTCCCACCAGTGACCACCTCCCCTGCAGCTTGGGTTGATCCTCCAGACAGCATGAGATGAGGGGAAGCGGGGCACCTAGTGGCTGCTCTGAAACGTTGAACACCTGTGGAGGAGGAGCAGTTTCCACCTTCCCCGCCGCCTGGGCAGGTAGCGGTTCTGGGCCTGGGTGAGTGTAGAGGGGATCCGGGCGGGGGCTGAGCTGGGTTCCCCAGGCCTGACAAGTGGCCACGTGGCACAACCAACCCCGGACCCAGGGCTGGGGCTGCTGCCCCAGGTGGGGAATTTAACTCTCACATTTTCGCACCACCCAGACGGGGCTGGACGCGGGGAAGCGGGAAAGAACAGTTCCTGTTTGCAGTGGCCGCCTGGCAGGGCATCGACGGGAGGGGTTCTACCGCAGTGGTGTTAGGCCGGCTCGGTGGCTCACACCTGTAATCCCAGCACTTTCGGAGGCCGAGACTGGAGGATCGCTTGAACTCGGGAGGTAGAGGTTGCAGTGAACTGAGATCGCCACTGCACTCCAGCCTGGGCGACAGAGCTCTGTCGGAAAAAAACCCCTCAAAACCAAAAAACAGTGGTGTTAGAGGGATGACATTATTGGTGACTAAAGTTTTATTTTGAACTTTCCTTAATCTTGCAGGGGCAGCCGCGCCCTGAAAACGCCTGTGATCTGGAGTGGAGGGTCCAGGCTTAGTGTGGTGAGTGACCCTAGGCAGGTCACTAGCTCCTTCCGAGCCTTCATTGAATCCTCTCTTACACGGGGATGTTACTCTCAGTTCTCCCTGTCCTTCAGGGCATTAGTTTATGAATTAGATGGTGCAATATTAACCATCCTTTTATTAGACAGAAACAGTAAGTTTGAGGAAGAGGACGTCTACCTTACAGGGGGTTTAATTTTCAGCTTCATTGAGATATAATTTGTTGAATGGTGTTTTACATGCGCGCCTTTTCCAACAGCGCCCCATAGCTATTCCCAGCACCAGAAGCGGACAACCGCTTTACTGAGAAACAGAGACAGGTACTTCCTGAGGCACCGCAGTCCCGGTCCACTGGGTTTACTACAACTAAAAATGGCTGTTTCTGTTTACTAGGTATTAGGCAATGTGTTTTAAGGAAATGAATTGTCTCTAATCCTCACAACCATTCAGCAAGCTAGGGGTCACCCGCATTTTACAAATCATGGCACCCCGCTCACCATATCTGGAAACTTGCCTCACCCTGGAGGATTCTAATTTTCACTTTAGAGAGCTGAGCAAGATGACCGTCCAGCGCTAGTCCTGGGAAATCCCCGGGACTGAAGATCGCAGGTAACTCACCGGAGTTTTCCAATATTAGGCCTAGGAGATTATGCGAAACTTTCTTTCAAGTAAACGCTGTTCTCTGGGGCCTCTTTGGGTTCTATAGTCGAAGGGGAATTGGCCCCGGGCCGGTGGGGGATGGGTGGGTGCAATTTCCTAAATAGAGGAAAGCCACTTTCCTTCAAAGGGCTGTGGAACTCTGGCTAGAGGCGGGGTTCTTTGCAGTTAGTTAATCATCCGCAAGGCCCTTTGGATTTGTTTCCGCAAATCCAGAACTCACACTCAGGGTCACAAAATCCGGGACATTTATTTGCCGAGCTCCATGGATGTTATTCCTGTGGATACACCCCGCCCCTGCCCGTTCTCCCTCGGAGCAGAGCGAAACCCATTCCAGGGCTTTTGCAGGAAGTCTTCGGGCCCTTGCGTCCGGCCCCTTTCAACATCAAAGCCCCCCCTGAGAGCAAAGGGCTTTGAAAGATAGGAAAAGCTCAGGCTCCTTATCGCGTCTCTGCTCCCTCCCGACCTAGTCGTAAATTCCGAGCCGAGCCGCAGCGGCCGCCCTCTCTGTCCTCCGCTCTTCTTGACCCAAGGTCTCAAAAGACAAACGTGTCACTTCCCGCCCCGCCCCTGGATTCTGGTCCTGAACGAAAGTAGTGAGGACCGAGAGGCGCAGGGTCCAGGACTTGTTAGTGGGGCGGGCGCCATGGGCGCCCCTGCGCCGCCAGGACACTACCGCCTGGGGACCCTCCTTCACCCTCCCGCAGCCTTCTTTGGGGCGGGGCTGGGCGGGGTGCCGGGTTCTGCCTACGCGCCCTCTCGAGTGCGTGGTGCAGAGCAGGCGCGGTGATGCGCTCCCGCCTGTGTCTGTGCTTCTCCGCAGGCCAGGAGGGCATCCTGCGCTGCCACCCGGACCTGGCGGGCCGCGAGCTGCAGCAGGGCACGCTCACCGCCGAGTCGCAGCGGGAGCAGAGCGGCGCGGGCCTTACGTGCCTGGGCGCGGACGAGCGGCTCCGGCTGGCGGAGCTGAACGCGCAGTACCGCGCGCGCTTCGGCTTCCCCTTCATCCTCGCCGCGCGCCTCAGCGACCCGGCGGCCATGCAGCGCGAGCTGGCGCGCCGGCTGCTCTGCCCGCCCGCGCAGGAGCTACGCACGGCTCTGGGCGAAGTGAAGAAGATCGGCGGCCTGCGCCTGGCAGACCTCCTCTGCGCCGACCCCGCCAAGCTGTAGGAGCCGCGCGGGCCGAGGACCCCGGGACACACCACTGGACGCGCCGGGACCACGGCCTGGAGCTCTGTGTCCTGGGCGGGAGGCGGACTCCGGCCTGGAACAGCGTCCACACACGTGCACAAAGGAAGTAGGGAATTGAGGCAATCATACGAGTAATGAGACCTTTTGTCCACCCACCCGCACGCGCACGCGTACGCGTTGCCAAAATATCCATATTGTTTAGTGCTTTGCCCTGGATTTATCCAGCTCACTGCTTCAATTCTTCACTCCCTTTGCGGCCCGCCGACACCCCCCGACCTTTGTGGATTCCAAAGTGTTTATCCAGTTCTCCCCACCCCTTCCTGCTAAGCCCGAACTGCAAAGCAAAACGGACGGAAAAGGAATCCTTTTATGCCACAGCGGTTTGTCTTTTTTTTTTTGTTTTTTTTTTTTTCTTTTCCCACCTCATTTGCTGCACCCGACCTTTACATGTGAGCAGAAGCGGCTTTCTCTCTCTTGAGCACTAGGGGAGCGGACCGGGAGCAAGGAAAGCCAAACGACGGCCTGGGTCCGGCCCGGGGCGCCGGGGAAACCGCGGCAGGGAGGCGGTGGGCTGGGGAGAGCCCTCCGAAGGGCTGGCGTTGGGAAGGTGCCCGGTGGGAACGGGTGGAATAGCTGCAGTCATCGCTCCTAAATGGCGGGGGGCGTCCAAGCTGGACAGGCTTGAAGATCTCTCCCGGAGGTCGGCTCATGGGGGTTGGCTTGACTGTCCCGGGAAGCCCATCAGTTATGAAAATAGTAACATTCATTGAGCAGCGCTGGGTATTTGGACCCCAGAATGAAGCGAGATTCCAGTGTCGATTAAACGGAGAGAAATGCCCGTAGAAATCGTAGAAATCTTTGCTTGTTAGCCCTGGGGCTTCAGAGCCCGATTAGGCTGGGCAGCTTCCTGGACCAGCAGCCAGGCTGCCACTGGGGGAAAGTGCATCCTGCTGAGGAGCCCACCACATTCTACCAATCCCGACTGCCCTCTCTCGCGTGTGCGCTCACATACACACACTGAAGGTGTAAAGAGCCCCAACAAACACTACTTAGGCTTCTATTGGCAGAGAAGAAACGAAATACGCATGGTCTCTCCAACACAGACAAGGTAAGAGGCTAAGGCCAAGGTGGCCCTTTTGAAGACAAGAGCTTCCATTAGTCACCAGCCGTGTCCAGGATTAGCAGCAGCAGCAGCAGCAGCAGCAGCAGCAAGGAAACCTTTCCCTAAAGAGCTGCGTGGCTGCACCCTTGGTTCTGGGGCTGATATTCCATAGAAATAAATCACTCCTGGAGCACTAGGAATTTTAGGCAAGGGAGTCCTTTTGCCGTTCCCATCTCACAGGTGTTTCCTGCTGTAGTAAGGCCGAAGGAAAAAAGCTGGTAGTGAGGCAGGTGCCAGGAAAGCAGGCTGTGCTACCAGTGTCCCTAGGATTGTGTCCAGACAGCTTCTCTGGGTGTAGGAGCGCCAGTTGCACTCCATGAAGACAGTTCCATGGCTCACTCCTATTCTTTGGGACCCCTCAGCAATGGTGGGGGTGCTGGGCCCTGGCCAGACACCAGCCTCTCTCTAGCCAGGGTAACCTGGGGGATTTCCTGACACACACAATAACTTGCTGCTTGGTGAAGAGGATTTTCTGACCCAGGATCCAAATACCACAGGCTAGGCCTAAGACTCAGAATAACCCACAGTAGTCAGGGCACCCTGTCCCAACCATGAGAGTAAACCCCACGCTTAGATAAACCAGGTTTTGAGCCAGGCGCCATAGCTCAAGACTGTAATCCCAGCACTTTGGGAGGCCAAGGTAGGAAGATCAAGAGGTCAGGAGATCGAGCCAGCCTGGCCAATATGGTGAAATCCCGTCTCTATCAAAAAAAAAAAAAAAAAAAGAAAAGAAAGAAAGAAAAGAAAAGGTAAACCAGATCCTTAATGCAGAGCTCTTTGTGTAAAGAAGCTCATATGAGATGCACCGAGCCCACCAGAGCTGAGTTCCCGCGGTTTAGCATGAGTGTAGAAGAGCTCAGAACCTCCCAGACACGACCCCGGTGTCTCCAATTACACAGTTACAGTTCAACAGTTCAAAGCTGGTCCGGAAAATGGTTTATTCCTGCGGGAAGGGGTGCAGGTGGAGGCAGACGCTGAATCTGTCCCCTTAGAAGGAGCTGGAGCTAAGGGGACAGAGCTGGCTGTGGCGCCTCTTCCGAAACACCTGAGCACAAGCAGCCCCGAGGGTGAGCACAGGACGCGGGGCGTGAACGCCGGGCTGGGAAGATCCCCGACCAAAGCTGCGCGTGGCTGACTCTCCCCTTCCGGAGGAGCTCTGCACAGAAGCCATTGCTCAAGCGGGCGAGTCACCTGTGGCGGCCGAAGTCGGGCAGGGCAGTTCTCTTTTTGCTCAAACAGCGGCATGCCCTGGGTTTCCGTCGGCCTTGCCCTGGCAGAGCGGCTTTCCGTTTTCTGGCCTCTGGTGAGCCAGAGGCGGGAGAGGAGCCCCGGCCGCGTGGACCCCAGCGCGCGCGGCAATCACCGCGCGCTGACTTTAGCCCCGGCGGCAGGGAAGCGACAGCCGGGGGAGAGCCTAGCGAGCGTCAGCGGGGTACAGAAGCGGTTAGGGGAGATTTCAGGGTGAACAACTAATATTTTACTAACAAATTCGTTAAAACACATGCACAAAACAAAACCAATCACAGTGGCAAGGCCAAGAAGAGTTGAAAGGCAAGGAGATGATTTCAATTTGTGTCACCCGACGACCCTCCTTACTTGGTGGAGGGCGGCTTTGCAGATTTTCACTTCCCTTGGAAATGTCCAAGCTCCTTAAGGCGAATGCTTCCAGTAAAGGGACTGGAGAGCGCAGCTCCGGGTGAGAACTCAGTAACCGACCCGGGCTTGCCACTCACCTGTGTAACTTAAAGGGGATACGGAATGAAGCTTCTTCTTCATCAATCCCTAAAGGTTGACATCTTGGTCTGTGTGCCCAAAAGATGTCTACAGACACTAAAATTGGAAGAAAGGAAAGGGGAAAGGACAACATAAATTCTATACATGATCTTAACCCATTTTAAATATGACACATTTCTAGAGATTAATCACAGGATATCAGTTTTGACTCAAAAATAGAGTCAAATAATAAAATAGAGTCTTCTAGTAAAGTATTTAATGTGAGACAAAAGTAGATGGATACGATCTTTGTCAACTGTAACAAAAATTTGGGATGGAATTTATGGAAAATTCATGCAATAAAAGAATAAACTACAGTTATGGGGTGCCTGTGAAAGACATAGGGCATGGAACACGGTCAGAATTGTAGCAATAGCAGAACCTGATTGTTCTGGTATTATTTGGTGTAGGGGGTGGGAGCAGGAAGATGGAATTCTCTAAATCGTGCTAGTTTTGTGTTGGGGGTGCAACGTTTCCAGGGTGGCACCAGCAGCTGTAGGGATAATAAACATCTATACAGATTGCTATGGGTTGCAAAGAATGCACATACTGTAGCTCATTTACTTTAAGAAACTTGAACAGCTGGCCGTGAAACTAGGGGAAAATCACCTAACCTCTCTGGGTCTTGGGTTCACCTTTGTAAAATGGAAAGGTTACACAGACTTTAAGGCTCCTGGCTCCCCTCCGGGGAATGCCAGTGGGCCCAGTAGCTCTATTTAAACTCCTTCCCTTAGCCACATAAAACTTACCCTGTAGGACTTCCTAGGAACATATTTTCATGTGGTAAACAAAGGTCATTCCAGGCACGAGACAATGGTGAGTGAACAAATGTTAATTGAAAGCTCTCCACGCCAAAGCCACGTGGTGACATTTGGCTGGTGCTGCCAGGAGAGCCTGGGGTTTCAGCATCAAGAGGGTTCCTTTAGGGTGGAAGACCTGGTTCCCAGTAGGGACACAAATCTTTGAGTCCTCCAAGTCCCTCCCTCTTATGGATTTTTTTTTTTTTTTTTTTTTAAGATTCAGTCTCACTCCTGTCCACCAGGCTGGAGTGCAATGGAGCCATCTCAGCTCACTGCAACCTATGCCTCCCAGGTTCAAGGGATTCTCCTGCCTCAGCCTCCTGAGTAGCTGGGATTACAGGCATGTGCTACCACGCCCAGCTAATTTTTTGTATTTTTAGTAGAGACAGGGTTTCACCACGTTGGCCAGCCTAGTTTGAAACTCCTGACCTCAGGTGATCTGCCCTCCTTGGCCTCCCAAAGTGCTGGAATTACAGGTGTGAGCCACTGTGCCCAGCCCCTCTTTTGGATTTAAATTGTCCTCTGTACTCCCTTACCACATAGAATGTATGATACAATGCCCAAACTGTGTTCTCAGGCCCTAGTTTCAGAAGAAAAGAAGAAAATGGGTAACAACTATTTATTTGCATAACTTTTGCCCAATGTACCAAACCAGATTTCTGTACATAAATATTATCCTGTCTCCTGAGGCTCTTAGTTTTCCTTGATCTCTTGGCTGTGCGGATATATTCTGGACAGAGAAACATTAAAAAAAAAAAAAAAAAAAAAAAGGCCGGGCGCGGTGGCTCAAGCACTTTGGGAGGCCGAGGTCAAGAGATCGAGACCATCCTGGGCAACACAGTGAAACCCCATCTCTACTAAAAATACAAAAATTAGCTGGGCATGGTGGTGCGTGCCTGTAATCCCAGCTACTCAGGAGGCTGAGACAGGAGAATTGCCTGAACCCAGGAGGCGGAGGTTGCGGTGAGCCGAGATCGCGCCATTTCACTCCAGCCTGGGTAACAAGAGCAAAACTCCGTCTCAAAAAAAAAAAAAAAAAAAAAAGGATGTTCCCTGCCTTGGATCAGAAAGCTTGGTGGTCTCATCACAACAGGAGTAAAACAGCTGGCTTTTCTTATCCCCTTCTCCTGAAGCCTGGTCCCTGAGAGAGTCGTAACACCTTAGGCCACAATGACCTTCCATGATTTCGGGAACCTTTCCTCAGGCAAAGAGGGCCAGACGCCCAGTTTGCTTGGGAAGAAAACACGCTTCACTCCACTGGGCAAGGACACATCTGCTTCTGTGAATCAAGCCTGGGCGGCTGTGGGCAGCTGCGGCCCCTCCCTGCTGTTCAGGATGGACACGTTGGGATCCATTGTGGCCTGATGAGGCTGGACAGGTGGCGGACTCTGGGGAGGGCCTACAGAAAAGACACTGTCATTGATTTCCTTCCCAGAGACGTTAGCTGAGTGGTCTTGGCAGGGCAGGGCAGGGTTGTTGAGGTCAAACCACCCATTATTGGGCCTTTCTTTGTGTGAGCGGATGGCTGATTGAGTGCAATGGCTGAAAGACTCCCTAAACTCCAAATTAAGTAGAGGTTGAGCTGTTTTTTTTTTTTTCCACAGCTGTATAGATGGCCAAGCTGAATAATTTTATCAGCCAACTTTCTCTTCCATTTCATTCTTCCTTAATTACCCCTGTAATTCAGGTCAACACAAGGTAAGAGTTTCCTGTGCAGGGTATAGAAGGGCTGCATTCTTTGGATAATTTTATTTTCCTTTTTCCAAATTAAAAAAAATTTAGAGAAAGGGTCTCCCTCTTTCATCCAGGCTACAGTGCAGTGGCACAACCATAGCTCACTGTAACCTCGAACTCCTGGGCACAAGCCATCCTCCAACCTCAACCTCCCAAGAAGCTGGGCCTATAGGTACACGTCACCACATCCAGCTAATTTTTGGATTTTTTGTAGAGATAGGGTCTCGCTATCTTGGGCTCAAGTGATTCTCCTGCCTCACTCTCCTAAAGTCCTGGGATTATAGGTGTGAGCCCTGTGCCTGGCTGGACAATTTTCTTCATCTGAAGAAGATTCAGAAAGTCAACTTACATGCTAAGGTCGGTAGAGATGGCCTGCCCTAACTGGGTTATATGAATCACTGGGCTCCCTCGTTTCCATAAGCCACAAATACTGGGCAGAGCAGGGTCCCCTTAGAGCAAACACTAGGACCTTTGAGCAGGGAGAGAGCTGTGTCAATGATGTGTGGATTTAGGAGTGTTTCATCTGCCTGGAGGGGCAGTCAGCCCTTCCGGCAGCCTCCTCCTTCCCACCCCCTTTGTGGCCCCCACCCTTGCCACCAGCCAGGATTCTGCAAGCCTGGACCCTCTCTGAAGAATGTGGAATGGCTTCTACACCGTCAGTAACAGCGTCGTTCCTTTGATAACCAGATCGTGGCTGCTCCTGCAGTTTTACTGTTGCTTCATTGACCTAGGTGTCTTTTTCTCCCCCACTCTTTCCTGCCTTTAGATGTCAGCTCTAGCTCTGGCTCTGCAGGGTTGTAGCTTCAGCCCCAGGCCAGCCACAGGCCTGAGCTTCTCAAACAAGTTTGCCTCTCCCAGGGTGAGTTGCTGTAGGCTTCTCTGGCCCAGCAGCAGGAGGTAAGAGACTAAGCATGGAAGGGCATCTCTGGCATCAGAGGGTTAGGGATGACCATGCCCGTCCCCTCCTGGGGGTTCTCAGTGCAAGCCAAAAGTTTCCTAAGAAAGCCACCAAGCACCCTGGGTCTGGGGCTAAGAAAGCCCTGCATGGGCTCCTGATGTGGGTGGCTCCTGCCTCCTCCCAAGACCACAGGCCTGCACTTAGAAGCTGGAAAGGCTGCCCCTGACCAGAGCAAATCTCCAGAGGCCAGTCATGGGGCACTAATCTGCTAGGGGTCAGGGCTGTCTAAATGCAAAAGATGACCAGGCTCCTGGAGTTCTAGCAGCCACCTTGTAACCGTCTCTGACTGTTCCCACCACCCAGCCTTTCTAGGGACCCAGCTGGGCCCTCCCCTGGCTGAGAGCGACCTGGCTATATGGGGACGCTTACATTCTGAGGAGCTTGTCCGAGGATATCATTTACCAGCTCCGTTCCCTTCGTCAAACAGTTTAGACCCTGTTCTAGATCCATAGCTGTGCCATGCTACTGCTAAGGAGGCCCGTTTTTGCAACGAGGGAAGCATTGGTTTTCACAGTGATTTCCTTTCCATGGCTGGAGCACTCCAAGTGAGCCTCAGGCTTCCCTGTGGCTTGGCCTGCTCTGAGGCTGGCTCTCAGGGCCATAGCAGCCCTGGCCGCTCCCAAAGCAGTTGGATGAGCAGACCAGAGCCACTTCTTTAGGGCACAGTACAGAGACACAGCTGGAAAACGGGGACAATTAGCCAGCGGCCCGCAGCCTGGGCCATAAAAACGCAGGAAGCAGCCACCGAGGGGCGGAGGGAATGGCTGTCCCTAATAAAGCGATTGTTCCAAAGAATGCCCGCATTCCGAAGACACAGGCTGCAGCCTCAGCCTCGGCTTCCAGAGCTCAGGCCTGGGAACGGGGTGTGGGGGATGGAAAGGGGAATTGTGTCTCCAGGAAGAGGAGGAAGATGTTTGCTAGATCAAAAGTTCGCAGTGCCCACCACTTAACCTCCCACGTTCCCGCCCCCCTGGTCTGCCGACCTCCCCTTCTGCCCTTCTCTCAATTATTTGGGTTTTGTAATGGGGTTTGCAATTTACTTCCGGTTTTATTTCTTAGGAAGTCCGATGACACTCGCCTGTCCAGGTCAGGCCTTGGAGGTCCCCTAGAAGGACCAGCTCGGTCTCCCACCTCTTGAGTGCGCAGCTTCTTGGCTCCTAAGTACTCCACTCCCCGCCCCCCGCATTTCTAGCCTGTTTCCTTACAAATTCGAAGGGTCGGAGGAACCAGAAAAAAGGGGATCCCGCAATCTTAGGCTAGTTCTGATCGCTTTTAGGTGTATCTGCACAGGCAGCTTGCTGGTTGTCACCTGTAGAATGGGGAGGATAAAAACACCTCCTAGGTTTTGTTCTATATCCTAGGGGGATGTGAGGCTCAAGGGAGATAAAGGACACTGGAGAGCACCCCAGAAATGACGGAGGAAGGCGACGGTGGCAAATATCTAAGCCAAATGCTCGACAATGAGAATAGACAGGTGCAGGTCTCCAGGAGTGCCGCGAGCGCCCACGGGTTCTGAGAGCGCTCAAAGTCCCCGAGTTAGGCTGCCCTGCCCGCCAGGCCTCGCCGCAGCGATCCTCATTCCCGAATCTGGCGGCGCCGTCGAAGGTTGCTAGAGAAGGTGACCCGGGGCCGCAGGCCCACCCACGCGGTTGCTGAGACACAGCTGGGCGCGCGCGGGAGCTGCATCTCGCCGCCTCCGCGCTCCTGTCCAGTCCCCTCGGTGGCCACTTCCAGCCCTAGGGCCCTTAGCCGCAGCGCTTCCCAAATCAAGAGAGATCTTTTCTCAATTCAGAACTCTTCATTAGCAATCGTTAATAACGGCCCTGAGTTGCCTTGTCATCTCCTGGAGATTAAAAATAAATTTCTTCGGAGAATGTTTTACTTTGTAAAGGAGAAAGTGTTTTAAAGATCTAGGTATGAGGTAAGACACATAACTACCTAGGTAGGTGTTAGCAGAAATTCTTTTTCTTGTTTGTTAACCATTTATTTAAGTATAATAAACATAAAAGTGTAGCTCGCTGAATTTTCACAAACCGAACACACCATGTAACCAGTAGCCTAAAAAACAGCGTCAACGATCCCCTAGCTCGCTTCCAGTTATGCACTCCAATAACCACTAGCCTGACGTCTATCACAAGTCCATTACTTTTGTAGCTCTTTAAACATTTTAACAATAAATCGCTTTAATTTAACTCAAATCTTAAACGTAAGATGAAGTCAAAAATGCAGCCTGAAGCTAGGAACATAATTTATCTTGCGCGGAGGGCGAGTGATTTCCTTGGGCAAGAAAATAACTGATTGGCGGTGACAGGGGCTGCAGTAGTCCTGGCCAGGAGCACAGGGCGGGAAGGAAAGGCCCATCTCTTAGGGCTTTCTTCTTGTCACCTACCAGGTCAGTCAGAAACGTTCTCAGCAAAGCAATGGCTTCTCTTTTCTTTTCTCTTTGGGACAGAAGGAGTTTCTTGACCGCCCCCTTCCCTGCAAATGCATAAACACCGACTGCTCCAGTCTCCAAGCCCAGATTCCCACCAAGATAGCCTTTTCTCTCCCCCTCTCTTTTGTAAGTCTCTTGATTTCATTCTTTGAACCTGTGATTGGAGGTTAAAGTGCACCAGGTTGGAAGGAGGAAGCTCTTAACAATAAAGGATTGAATATTTAGCTGTGATCAGGTCGCTGCCCTCTCACGAGCTTCCCCCCCCCCCTTTATCTTTTAAAATGCAAATCATGTTTCGGGGGGTTGTGCGTTGAGTGCGCTCTGCGCCTCAACGTCTCCAGCCATTGGTGTCTGTGTCATTACTAATAGAGTCTTGTAAACACTCGTTAATCACGGAAGGTCGTCGGTCTGGGGCTCCGCAAGCCAGCCTGTGGCGGGTCTTCTCCGCCTGTGCAGCCTAGTGGGAAGGAGGTGGGAAGAAAGAAGGAAGAGAAGGAGGGAGGGAGGAGACAGACCAGAGGGAGGGACCGCCTCGGAGGCAGAAGCGCGGAGAGGAGCCAGCGGAGCACCGCGGGCTGGGGCGCAGGCACCCGCCGCTCTTCACGTCCCCTCGCCCCTTCCCCTTCGCGCCCCCCGGCAGCCTCCAGCTTCCGTCCCCAGGCAGCATGGTGAGGTCTGCTCCCGGGCTCTCGCCACCATGTACGTGAGCTACCTCCTGGACAAGGACGTGAGCATGTACCCTAGCTCCGTGCGCCACTCTGGCGGCCTCAACCTGGCGCCGCAGAACTTCGTCAGCCCCCCGCAGTACCCGGACTACGGCGGTTACCACGTGGCGGCCGCGGCTGCGGCGGCAGCGAACTTGGACAACGCGCAGTCCCCGGGGCCGTCCTGGCCGGCCGCGTACGGCGCCCCGCTCCGGGAGGACTGGAATGGCTACGCGCCCGGGGGCGCCGCGGCCGCCGCTAACGCCGTGGCTCACGGCCTTAACGGGGGCTCCCCGGCCGCCGCCATGGGCTACAGCAGCCCTGCCGACTACCACCCGCACCACCACCCGCATCACCATCCGCACCACCCGGCCGCCGCGCCTTCCTGCGCTTCCGGGCTGCTGCAGACGCTCAACCCGGGCCCTCCCGGGCCCGCCGCCACCACTGCCGCGGAACAGCTGTCCCCCGGCGGCCAGCGGCGGAACCTGTGCGAGTGGATGCGGAAGCCGGCGCAGCCGTCCCTCGGCAGCCAAGGTAAGCGCAGGCGGCACCCCGCGGGAGGGCGCTCGGGAAGGCGCGGACCCAACTCCTGGCTGCTTGGAGTCCGCGCGTCCAGTGCGCACAGGGGCATCCGGGGCTGTTTGGGATCCTGGCGCCTGGAGGGGCACGGCCCGAGGACAAATTCGGGGACCTCTGGCCCCTCCCGACTTCTCCGACCTATTGAGCTGGGGAGTTAATATTTTGAGTCTCACAACACCGAATTCAGCTTACGTCAGGGAAGAGGCGTTCTCTTTCCAATAGCTCCTCATTCACAACGCCGGGACACTTTTCGGGAAGCTCGGGGAATGTCGGCGTGAGCACGGCTGGACGCGAGCAGAATCGCGTCCTTCCCACTCGCTGCTGCACGCATTCCTGGCATTGCTCCTGGCTGCCGAGGAGAAGCAGGCTCGAACCTTCTTGGGCTAGGCCTAGGCCATTTCTCTCCGCTCTCTCTTTCCCCATCTGAGCCACCCAAGAAGGAAAGTGGCCTGAGGGGTCGAGGGATGGCGAGACTGCGTGGGCCCAGGTTTGGCCATTCGGGCCAATTCAAGGTATGGGGCTACAGCGAGCAGAGAGACCAGGGAGAGCTACTGTCACTGGGAAGAAGGTGCTGGCCCCATCTGCTAAGGGGTGGGAGGCGCGCCCGGTCTCTGAACCTCTGACCTGCGAAGCGGTCATTCCAAGCACAAGCTGGAAGGGTAGGGGAAAGAAGCCGAGGCGAAGGCTTCTAGCGTCTGCAGAGAGAGCAGGGAGACAGGGAGGAAACCCTGGTGGCAATTAAGCCGCAGCTCCAGGTAGGGGTCATTTCTCCCAAAGCTTCCTTTCAAGGGTGTCAGGGATGTCTGTGAGTTTGTGTGCATCTGAAAAAGATCTTAGGTTTGCTGGACTGTGGGGCGCTTTGATTCCGGGTCTGCCCCTTCTGGTGTTCGGGTGTGCAGAGAGGTGGCAAGGAAGTGCTCTGGGAGAGTCCTAGTTGAGTGCCCCCTTTATTCCATGAAATCTTTCCCCAGCACTCAGCGCTTCCGCTTTTCATGCTTCGCCCCTTGCTGCCCCAGTTGGGTCCGCACGCTGATTATGGGCACTTTGCAGAGTTTTATAGCCAATTACAGCTGTATAAATCAAAGTGCCCTTTGGGGGCTGTCTCTGGGCATCTGTTTCTTCGTCACTGTACACATGCTAGGGAGAGTCCTGGTTGAAATGCGACCGTCAGTGGGGAAGGCCACAGATCAGCCTCGGATGGACCTCTGAGCTTTGGCTTGGTCCCTTCTCCAAGAGGAGGCGCCTTTCTCCTAGCAGGGCACTCCCAGACCCTGGCTCCCTAAGACCCGCTTTCTGCAGCGCCTGTCTGGGTCGCGGTTGGCGGGGATCGCGCACGGTCTAAGGAAGACTTTTGTGTGTCCCAGGAGAGTAGCCGCAGGGTGAGGGCCGGGAAGAGGGCGGGAGGGAAGCCGCCAGAGCCCAGGCCGCGGGGTCAGAAGATGAGAGGCCGCTGTGAAGTCCCGCGCCGAGGTGGCAAGGCCGCAGTCGGCGCCGGGTGCCCTTGTGATGTTAATGTGGGGTGGCCGCGACCCGCGGGCTGGAGCCCGGCTCCTCCGCAGAGCGTCATCTGTCAAGGGGTGGGTGGAGGGGACGAGGCCCGGTCCGCTTTGATATACACCTTCCCAGCCCTGCCATTGTCTCTTTTAGGGCCCGGAAAGAGGGTGGTGACTTTCGCAGTCAATAATGAATTCTGACAAGTCCCTCTCATCCCTCCCCTCCACAGCCCGGCTCCTAGGTTCCCAGGGGGTGTGGGGCGCCTCCAAGGCCCTTGGGTCGCGGGCCGAAGAGCGCACAGGGTCTGGTCCCCGAGTTCCCCCGGCCCCTCCGGGACACTGAAGGGGCAGCACCCGAGCAAGGGTCGATCCGAGGTACTCCCAGGCGAGTCTCCCGCCTGGGGTGTTAGGCTAACGGAACTGCTGCGCCCCAGTCCCGGAGGTATCCTCTGTGGCTCCAGACAGGCTCCGGTGGCAGCCCCGCAGGATACTATCTGCGTGACTTGGTCTGATTCTCCATTTCCTCATCTGTAAAAAGGGGCGAGTACTAATGGCAGCCTGGAGTGGATTTGAGGCTGTCACGCGTGTCCATGAGTCCACCGCGGAGAAAGCCGCGTCAGCTCCCTTTACTTTCCTAGCAGGCGCGGGGTCGGGGCCGCAGCTCCATTCAAATGCGCCTGCAGGGCCGTGTTTATGTTAATGCGCCTGGCGGGGAGGGGGATGAAAGTCGGGCCGCCATTTGCTCAGTAGTGGTAATTCAAACAGAATGTGGTTGTTATTAAGGCATTGAAAAGCCTTTTCTTTGATAAGATCGCCTTGTCCTGCATTGTTTGCGGCTGTGTTCCCCTTTCAGCGGCTCAGGGGAGCTCCCTCTGATCAGGCCTGTATCTTCCCAGGGCGCTTTTGTTGTGGTTTGCAAAGGGTTTTACCTGAACAAAGTGGGCCTGTGGGGCATTAAACACCTCCAGGCAACTCCCAGGCCCTTCAGATCTTTCTGTGGGACTGGGCACTGGGTGATTGAACCTGTCCAGCTGTAAGAAGACCCCAAAGCAGGACGAACCAGAGAGAACAACCCCTGACCAGGGCTCTGCCAAGGGCTGAGCCAAGACAGACCTAGTGGAGACGCCAGGCTCGGGCCTGCTCCAACACTGTGGACACTATTTGTCAAGGCCCTTCAGTAAAACAATCAATCCAGGATTTAATATGTTGACTCAATCCAATGAGCATAGATCACTGGTCAGGATAGCTCTGGCCGGGTCTGCAGCCGGAATAAATGGAGGATCAAAAAAGAAAAAGTGCCAAATGCCAAACCTGGTTTGGGCAGGTATACAGTCTACCCAGCGGGAGGGGTATTTTGCCTGCCGGCACAGCTTCCCTCTGCCAGAGCCCAGCTCAGAATTCCACCGGATGGGCCTGGTGAGTCTGGGGAATGATTGTGGTGACTTGTCAGCTCCTGTGCCCTGCTTTCCACTTGTATGTAGTAAAGGAAAGTAGTAACCTCCACACCGCCTCTACAACATGCGCCCACAATGACAGCTGTTTTCCAGGTGCACTTACACCTCTGGTAGGCCTGGAAATCTGGGTGTTCCTGGGACTCCGGCCGCTCCACCCTGCCTCTTCCCCTCGGCATCAAATATATGCCAGTACTGTATCTGATTTACCGAAAGGGTGGTACGTTCTGTTATCCTCTGTGTGAATAAAGTTTTCACTTTTCTGATTTTTAAAAACCAGTTAATACCAAGGTTCATTTAGTTGCCTCTGGAGCCTCACCTTCCCCTCCTCCCGCCACTGGACCCTCTGGGGGGTCTTGTCAGACTTGGCAGGAACCAGCCAAACCTGGGCCCCCCCCCAGGGTGGTGGAGGAAGAGAAACGTCCCTGGGTTAGGGAGGTTTGTCATTACCATGACTGATGGGCTGCCCTGTAGTCTCAGCCCTCACTTCTCCTTCCTCCACAGTGAAAACCAGGACGAAAGACAAATACCGAGTGGTGTACACGGACCACCAGCGGCTGGAGCTGGAGAAGGAGTTTCACTACAGTCGCTACATCACCATCCGGAGGAAAGCCGAGCTGGCCGCCACGCTGGGGCTCTCTGAGAGGCAGGTGGGGACCACCTAGCTCCCTCCAGGCAGGCTACTGCCTGGGAGAGGACCATGACAGTTAGAAAATCTGGCTTCAGGAGTCTCCTAGATCTGTGGAAAGACTGAAACAGGAGGGTGCAAGCATTCGTCTTTGGAGGACTTTTTTTTTTTTTTTTTTTTTTTTTTTTTTTTTTTTTTTTTTTTAATAGTGATGGGTTCTGGCTTTGTGGCCCAGGCTGGAGTGCAGTGGTACAATCAAAGCTCACCGCAGCCCCAACTTCCTGAGCTGAAGGGATCCTCCTACCTCAGCCTCCTGAGTAGCTGGAACTAAAGGCTCAAGCCACCATGACTGGCTAATGTTTGAGTTTTTTGCAGATATGGTCTCACCATCTTACCCAGGTTGATCTCAAACTCCAAGTAATACTTCTGTCGCGGCCTCCTAAAGTGCTGGGATTACCAGTGTGAACCACCGTGCCTGGCCTGGAGTACTTTTTTTAAAAGCCCTCTCTACCTCTAGTCCTCTTTTTTTTTTTTTTTTGCTGTTGTTGATTTTTTTCTCTCCCTTTTGAGGAATATAGGCGATGTGAAAAAAAAAAAAGCCAAGTGTGTTTGTTTAATCCAGAATTCCATTTGAGTCTATAAGGACTTACTACAAGACGCATTCTCTTTGTTTCTAGCACTGTGCCTAAGAAAATAAACTAAATAAAATGGTCTCTGGTCATAAAAACTAGGGGGACAAGACTTAGTTCATGAACATTCTATTTATATGGTCTAGGAAAGCAGGCCAGCTTCACAGCCAGGAAGCCACACAATTAAATCTCATTTTCAGCTCTAAGGTGAGGAAAATTGCATTTTAGTGTAGCCTTGAGGGGTCAAAGGTTGCCATTTGAAGTACACCACCCAGCACTGGCCTCCCTTTGCTGCAGAGAAAGAGCCTTGCAGTTTCTGTTTTCCTTGGTTCTGAGACTCTAAACTTTTCCAGTAAGTGAGTAGATAAAAGTTGCTTTGAAAAGAAACCCAGGGAGCAAGGAAGGAGGAAGACTCTTCCTCATGAGGCTGAATTGGGCCTGAGGATGGCTCTAGGGCTGGGCTCTTGGGGGGTGCCCATGGAAAGCTTCTAGAAGGACTTGGAGTTCTACAGTTGAGAGGGAGATGATGATACTGCTGGGTATGGTTCCCCTTTTCCCTCACATCTTCTTCACCACCATCTGCTTTTCTCCACCTTTCCATTTCTAGGTTAAAATTTGGTTTCAGAACCGCAGAGCCAAGGAAAGGAAAATCAACAAGAAGAAGTTGCAGCAACAGCAGCAGCCGCCGCAGCCGCCTCCGCCACAGCCTCCCCAGCCGCAGCCAGGTCCTCTGAGAAGTGTCCCAGAGTCCTTGAGTCCGGTGTCTTCCCTGCCTGGCTCTGTCCCTGGGGTTCTGGGGCCGACTGGGGGGGTGCTAAACCCCACCGTCACCCAGTGACCCACAGGGGTCTGCAGCGGCAGAGCAATTCCAGGCTGAGCCATGAGGAGCATGGACTCTGCTAGACTCCTCAGGAGAGACCCCTCCCCTCCCACCCACCCACAGCTGGAGACCTACAAACCTGGCTCTCAGAGGAAAAACGGGAGCCAGGAGCAAGACAAGTGGGATTTTGGGGCCTCATGAAATATACTCTCCCAGATTTTTACTTTTTGAAAGAGTCATCTGGCTCTTTCTGCCACTGAGGAGACAGAAAGCGGCCACTGAGTTTCATTCGGGACTGACAGAGCGTTGCCTGCACTGACCACACCAACGAGGCAATCGGCCTCCTCCTCCCACCTCTTCCCCTCCTAGATCTGCAGGCTGCCCCTCTGGTTGGAGCTGAGGGGAGAGAGGGACTCAGGGGAATGGCAAGCTTGGGGCCAAGATAGCTGCTGCCTGCTCATGGCCATCAGAGGTACAGCTGGGCCTCCTGCCTCCAGGCAGGCAAGGTTTAAACTGCAGAAGCCAAAGGCAGCTAAGATAGAAAGCTGGACTGACCAAAGACTGCAGAACCCCCAGATGGCCTGCGTCTTTTTTCTCTTCCCTTCCCAGACCAGGAAAGGCTTGGCTGGTGTATGCACAGGGTGTGGTATGAGGGGGTGGTTATTGGACTCCAGGCCTGACCGGGGGCCCAAACAGGGACTTGTTTAGAGAGCCTGTCACCAGAGCTTCTCTGGGCTGAATGTATGTCAGTGCTATAAATGCCAGAGCCAACCTGGACTTCCTGTCATTTTCACAATCTTGGGGCTGATGAAGAAGGGGGTGGGGGAGTTGGTGTTGTTGCTGCTGTTTGGGTTGTTGGTCTGTGTAACATCCAAGCCAGAGTTTTTAAAGCCTTCTGGATCCATGGGGGCGAGAAGTGATATGGTGAAGGGAAGTAGGGGGGGTATTTGAACACAGTTGAATTTTTTCTAAAAAGAAAAAGAGATAAATGAGCTTTCCAGATTTCAGATTCTGTATTTATCTTCAGATTTTGTCTGCAACTATTTTTTTTTTTTAAGAAATGAAATATCTTCTCTGCTTGCAAGTTGATTTGGGAAATTCAGAGAGGGAGTGGAGGTTATCTGGACAGCCTCATTTTACCCCAGAGCATCAGAAGCCTGAAAGAGCAGGTTCTGAGACCTTCCCTGCCCCCAAGCCTGAGCCCAGCCTTGGAATGCGTGGCTCTCCTAGGGGTGCCTTTGGGCGAAATGCACATCTGCACAGCCAGCTGCTTCCCAGCAGCCAGGAATTATGGGGGGTGGGGGTGAGAGGGCCCTTACAGCATCTCACCAAATCCACGCAGAAGCTTTTGCAAACAGCAGGCAGTTCCCTTCTGGAGGGACTCCCTCCTCTCTAAGGACACCCCATAACTCAGCTAGTTAAATGTGAGCATTAAATAAATAAATAAATAAAAAATCCCCCTACTTTCCCAAGACAGCATTGCCATAAATTTAGTCTTATGTAAATCACTGGGCATTTCCGTGAGCCCTTTCTGCCTCCACTCTCTCCTCTGTTCTGGAAGTTTCCTTATCCCGGACTTCGTCCCTCTTTCCACCCAATTACCTCCACAAACAAGATTTCAAGACTCAATATAAAATGATCCTCTTAGTGACAGTTCCTTGTTATCTGGCCGATTCACTGGGGACCCGGCTGCAGCCTTTGAGATTTTTGATCCTGCAGGCCGCCGAGCTGAGCGTTCCCGGCAGGACCTGTGTGAGAGCGGCTTCGCCTTTGTTTCGGTCTTTCTACCAGCATCCGAGAGCCTAATCAGCGCGCTCATGGAGGGGGGAAGCGCCTCAAGGGCAGCTTGGGAGGATGAGCCGAGCAGGTAGAGACCCTCTGCAGCACCTCCCCAATTCCGCAGCCCTTCCTGGTGGCGTTTGCAGCTCCAGGATTGGGAAAGGGGTCCGGTGGTCCCGCCCGCGGGCGCCAGGCCTCGAAGCCAGAGGCCGGAGTGCGGGACGCGGGGGCGGGGGCTGCCGGGCGGACAAGGAAGCCATGTCCCCGTCCGCTGGGCTAGGGGTCCCGGGTCAGGGCCGGTGTGAGCCCCGGTGCCCCGCGGGTCTCCCCGCGCCCCGGCCGCGCCCACACGCCCGCCCCCTAGCAGCAGCGGTTGCTATGCGTTGCTGTGAAACGCCTGTCAATAAACCCTGTTTGGACAGTGGAGCAAGACCACATGGGCTGTTTGCTTAGTGGTCAGAGGTTCAAAAGTCGACATTGTCCCGCTGCAAACGATTACAAGTTCTTCCCCTTCCCGGGACTCGGTCCCCTTGCACGCGGGTCCAGGGCCAGGGAAAGGAGCTCGGCTGCTCTCTGACATGCAAGCACCCGGCTCTCCTGGCAAGACTCCCGGGCCACGGTAAAAGGCGCAAATCCAGGGCCCTATCCGGCAAGCGAGGCCCCCGCGCTTCTAACGCCAACCGTGTCACCCCCGGGGCAATACCTATGGAGCAAGGGATGTGGCACGAGTGGGGAGCGCGGCTCGAGGAGTTTAGGGAGGGCTGCATAGGGGCGCCTGAGGTTATTTGAGACCAGATGACCTCGCAGCTCCTGGCGCCTTCAGCTCAGGGCTGGGGGCGGTGGCCTCCGAATCCCACGCCTCCACTGGGTCCAGTAGTCCGCTCAGGCGCCAGAGGGCGCGCGCGCTCTGGGAAGAGATGTGGCTTTGGCTGGTGGACCCGGAAAGGTTCCAGTTCAGTTGGGAGTTGCAAGCGCCTGCGCCTCTCGGGGCTCCCGCTGAGCCCAGACCCAGGCGCTGCAAGATTTCCCCACGTTGGCCGTGGGCCTGTTTAAACTAAGTTCAAACTAAGCCAGACACGGGATATTCTTGGATCTGTTGAATGTTTAAGAAAAACAAATTTGGCCGGGCGTGGTGGCTCACGCCTGTAATCCAAGCACTTTGGAGGCCAAGATGGACCGATCACCTGAGGTTGGAAGTTCAAGACTAGCCTGACCGACATGGTAAAACCCCATCTTTAGAAAAAAAAAAAAAAAAAAGAAAGAAAGAAAGAAAGAAAAAGAAAGAAAAACAAATTTAGGGGAGAGGGACTATCTACCATTCTAAAAGGGTCATTTTGCACAAGGTATTTTCTTTCTAAAATTTACAGTAATATGAGCACAGTATTAATACATGGTAAGACTGGGAATTTGGGATAAATATGGGAATAAAATAGGGAATAAAACCTATCGATGTTGTGGAACTGAGGTCCAAAAAAATATTTATGGGCCGGGCGCTGTGGCTGACACCTGTAATCTAGTACTTTGGGAGGCCCAGGCGGGCAGATCACTTGAGGTCAGGAGTTCGAAACCAGCCTGGCCAATATGGCGAAACCCCGTCTCTACTAAAAATACAAAAATTAGCCAGGCGTCGTGGCGTGCGCCTATAATCCTAGCTACTTGGGAGGCCGAGGCAGGAGAATCGCTTGAACCTGGGAGGCGGAGGTTGCAGTGAGATGACATGGAGCCACTGCACTCCAGTCTGGGCAACAGAGAAAGACTCCTCTCAAAAACAAGGAAGCAAGCAACCAAGCAAGCAAACAAACAAAAAAGTATTTATGGAGAATGAACGGCCTGAGTCTTTTCTCCCCTTTGTGAACAATTTGTGGCTTTATCATATCCATCCAATAAAGTTAACACGATGGACTGTCAATGAAAGTAACGGATGTTTCATTGCAATGTGTTTCACTTCTTTCTAGTAATATCTAGAAAGATGCCTACATCAGTGAAGAAAACTAATATTAAATAGCAATCTAAATATACACATAGCAATATTCTTGCTGTTGTTATCCACAACCATTCAGGAAAAAATAAAAAAGAGAGAAAAGAAGTAGAAATGAAAGAAGTCTCAACCACAGAATGGCAAGAAAAGTTATATGTTTTTAGGGCCACCTTGCACCTCGTTTTAGAGACAGGTTGTTATTTACCAGCTTACCCACCTTGGGAAGACCCCAGCCTCTGAGCTATCACTTCCTCATCTGTAACCTGAGGAGCCAGCGAGGTAATGTAAGCCAATGTAGCACTGTATGCTTATGACTAGACCCCGGTCACGATATGAGCTGCTTCTTGTACTGTATTCTTCGAAGTGTTAGAGAGTCCTTACAAAGAGCTTTTGGGCAAGATAATTTCTGAAATGATAATAGAATAACCCCTTCCCAGAATTTTTTTTTCTAATGCATTCAGCTTTGCTTACTTTGCCAAAATTGCCTGAAGCCTGTTGTTTCTTGATTGCCACTTCCTAAGCATCTGCATAAAATCTTGAGTGGCAAGGCACAAAGTAGCATTCCAGATGTGGCGACCAGTTGCTGATCTGTATAACTTACTTGCCCTTTCATTTACTAGAGGAGATGTTCCCAACTAAAACATCTAGTTTCTAATCGTACTTAGGAGAATCCAGATTAGTTGAGGATGTAGTTGAGAATCTTCATACAATCCGTCAGCACACTCTAACCCAAAAGGAGCAGACAGGCAGATACTCTAACTAGTTGGCATTAAAAGTTTATTTCAAGACAGTTTCCACCCCCAACACATCAGTATTAATTCTGTACTCTTCGGGAGCCATCCGGGAGGCTGCTGAGCTTTAAATTCTCAAAGGCTTATTCTTCCTTAGATGTTGTTTTAAGAAAAGCGCTTTACTCTCATCTCCAGAATTCTACCTTACAATAAAATGACAGCAGCAGATCTTGTATGAAATTGGTTTTGCTTTGGAGTATAACAAAAACATTCATATCTGAGTAATGTAGATTAATCTGTAAATATTTAAAATAAACATTTAACTTATCTTCTTAATCACACTTAGACTGTACAAACTTTCAACCCCACAACTCCTACATTCAGTCAGTTTTCCTTTGCCTTTTTTCCTTTTGCCTCCTGCTCTTCTTGGAGAGAGTGCACTATGATTTTAACAAAACAGGCAGATTTTAGAGGTGGCAGTGGGGCTAGCTGTGTGACACTGGCCAGCACAGTCACCTGCTGTCTTCTTTCCTTAGCTACAAATCAGAGGAATACATATATAAAACTAGAAATAGTTTGTACATATATAGACATATGTATAAAATATGATTTCCTAGAAGGTTATGACATCAGATTTAGGAATTCTCAAATTCCAAATAAAGAAAGTAGACTCTGTGAGTTCCAGAGATTATACCAACATTTACCTTGACATTCTTGGAGCAATCAGTTCAGAGAAGGTGGGGGCAAGCACTTAGGTGACCTTTTGGCTCTATGTCTCTAGTGCCCAAACATGACATTTGTTTTAACGACAGCTTTTCCCAATTGGAATTTGTCATTAACCACAGTAGATATAGATAATATCATCCAGGTGGCCAGAGCCCCAAAGTTAAATGACCAGTAAAGCAGAATCCTGGTGATTCTGTGCTAGAGATCTAATCCATAAGCCACAACACAACCAGTTTTAATCCATGAAAAAGACTTCCCTGACATGAAGTGATTACCAAACCATCCCTTCACACGCACATTTACTTAAAAATAATATTTATATCATGTACTGGGTTTATGTGTCCAATATTTTATTGGTAAGTAAACCCCAGGCAGTTCATGCATTTTTATATTTGAGTTTTAACTTCAAAACTAAACAGGATTTTTTTTTCTAATTATTCATGCATTATCTCAGAACTCTGAGGATTAACAGTCTGCTATCATCACACTTAGTATCTGTAGTATGATGATAGGTTTTATGCAAATAGAGGTTGATAAGTTCCTCTCCAACCTCAGGGAAGCAAACAAAAACAATGCAGAGCTTAAGTCATTGTAGTACAAACTTACCGTGGCTTGTTATGTGGCACTTAAATAATTTCAACTTATTGATTAGTAGAATCAAGAACAAGGATTACATACTTAAACCACAGATTAGGAGTTGTTAAAAATGACCAGGGCAGGCTTTGTTTTCTACTCATGAAATACACTTTGGGTATTGTTTTTTCACTCTGTGTACCTATTATATTTAAAAAACAACAGCTACAACAAAACTTAACAGAACTAGATTCTATTTTCAGTTTTCACCTGGCCCTCTAAGTTCTAGACAGAAGCAGCTCATGTCATGATTGGGGTCTAGTCATAAGCGTACAATGTGACACTGGCTTACACTACCTCAGTGGATCCCCAGGTTACAGATGAGGAAGCAGTAGCTCGGAGGTTGGGGCCTTCCCAAGGTCAGTAAATTGGTAAATAGCAACCTGTCAGACGGGCCCTAAAAAACATAACTTTTCTTGCCATTCTGTGGCTGAGACTTCTTTAATTTCTCCTTGTTGCCTGTTTTGTTCCCCTGGGTGTTCGTGAATAACAACAGCACGATTATTGCTGCGTGTATATTTCTGTGCATTGCCAGAAACAAACAGAAAAAAGACATAAATATGTCAGAACCAAAGACTACTGTCTAGTAACAATATAGAAATACAGAAAACTGTAGAAAAAATAAAAAGACTGTCTGGAATCCACACATAAAAAATTAAAACATTATTTTTCTCTTGGACCACTTTATTTAAAATAACTCATATTTTAGAAATCCACATTCTTGTATTTATTTTCATTCATTCCTATTATCATTTTCATCATATCTATGAATTTTACATAAACATCTTTACACTTTCAGATCGCTGTTAGTGATATATTGTTTGTTATGCACATGGCACGTTAGACAATGATTCAGATTTTGGTAACTGGAGAATGACAGTTTTTGGGTGTGATCACAAGTCTACAGAAAACCAACAATTGACATTTATTTCTCATTTCTACAGAGAAGTGAGAGTCTTGACATGTCATAATCCATCCAGTATTATGATTGGTCCTCTTGGGTGGATATCTGACCGGAATGGGAAACTAAAAAGCGGTTCATCAAATGAGCATGCCACGTGAAGCTGTTCAGTGGGTAAGTTTCTAGGAGGGCTGGGTGATACTGAATACAGCAGGCGCTCCTTTTGTAAATCTGTAGTCAGACAAAATAGACAAGAAGCAAGCTCCTCACCCCAACTTTTAGTTTATTCCCACTCCCCTCCACTTCTACCTCAGAGAAACTATTGTCTAGATTTGAGTCTTTGAATGTTTTAGACAGAAAAATGGATGAAACTTTTTTTTTTTTTTGAGACGGAGTTTCCCTCTTGTTGCCCAAGTTGGAGTGCAATGGCGCGATCTCAGCCTCCCGGATCCAGCGATTCTCCTGCCTCAGCCTCCGGAGTATCCAGGATTACAGGCCTGCGCCACTACGCCAGGCTAATTTTGTATTTTTAGTAGAACGGGATTTCCCCATGTTGGTCAGGCTGGTCTGGAACTCCCCGACCTCAGGTGATCAGCCCGCCTCAGGCTCCCAAAGTGCTGGGATTACAGGCTTGAGGCACCGCGCCCGGTCTAAATGGATGGAACTTGTTCTTTATCTATGCCTAAATGGGCTCGTTGTCCACAACGCGCCTGGGGGAAGCGTTTGGCCTGGTATCCAGGCATCTCTGCGGATCTACCCAGCCATTAGAGCAGATAGAGGTTGGGCAGCGGCGATCCGCCCCTTCCCCTGCGGCCTGCGCGACCAGTGGCGTCCACTCCCGGCCGCCGCGGGGCTCGGGCTCCTTGACCCTCCCCCAAGGTCACTCGGGGCGCAAGGTCCCCGAGCCCAGTGCCTCCCCGCGCTCCCGGCGGGCTCCCAGGGGCTCCTGTCCCGCTGCTCTCCCCACAAGACGGCCAGTATCTGCCAGCTGCGTGTCGTTGTTGGGTCTCCGCGGCCGCCTGGGGCTTCCTGGAGGGATTCGCGGCGTCTCCTGAGTGGTGGCGCGCGGCGGGAGCGGGAGAGGTCCGGGCGCCGCGGCCTCCTGCCAGGCTGGAAGCCCTAGGAGCGCCTCCCCGCCGCCGCCCGCCGTCCCGGAAGTCGGGCCCTGAGATTCCGGGCAGTTTCTTTTTCCTCTTTGGAACGGTGTGGTGTCCGCGGTTGTTTTCGTCCTCATACCTGAAGACGCCATGCTTTTCAAAAGGCGCACGCCACTGCGGCGCGGAAGTGCGGGGAACCTGGGCCGCGGGCGCCGAAGCCACCCTGGCAAAGAACGCCCGGGGCGCCTGTCTTCGACCTGTCGTAGCTGGGCGCCCTGGGCCGGCGATGGTGGCATCAGGCCCGAAGGATTCGATTTTCAAAAGGCGGAACGGGAGCGCGGGTGTGTTCGGCCCGTCAAAGCTGCGGCCGCCAGCGGCAAGCGGGGTCGGGCCTGTCTCGCTTGGGCCAGGCCCCCGGCAGGCGGCGCTGCTTGCTCCACCGGAGAGGGCCGAACTGCCGAGACCCCGCGGCCTCTGTCTTCAGCCCTGCGGCGGACCGGAGAGCTGGGACTCTGGGCGGGGAGCGGGAGGCTGAGCCGGGGCAGCAGGAGCCGCGTTAGGGGAAGCCGCCTCTGTGACTTTCCCGGCCTCTCGGCCAAAGGCGCAGGACTGCGAGTGGGTCTTGCGGGGAGTCGCCTTGCACAGCGGGCGCCTGCGAATCGACTCCTTTCCACTCTCCCGGTGGCGCTGTGGCTCTAACCCTGCTCCTTCTCTTCACAGCCACCAGACGGCGCGGCCTGACACCTGGGCAAACGCGGTCTCCCTTGGAGCCTGGTTGCGCCCTAAGGCCGGGTTCCATCTAGTCTCCGACAAGACACTTCCTGATTTGCCCCTCGCCAGACTCTAGCAATTTCCCGGGTCCCCGGGAACCCGATTTCGCCTCTGGGCTTCCATGATTAGTGGCGGCTGGAGCGCTGCTCCCCAACCTGGGCCCACTTTGGGGTGTGTGGAGCAGGGAGGAGGGTGGGATCACTCTTAATCTCGTGTCACAGCTAAATAATTTACTCAAGGTCTTCTCTTCCTGCCAATTCCCTTCCCTTTTCCACTGCCCTTGACTTCCTGCTTTTGAAGCCCCGGGGAGAGAAAGGCCAAGTCTTAATGAAAGTTAATATTAATAGAGGCCCCATGCTCCGGGCTTCTCCAACACCTCATCTTCCCCTCGCACTTCCACCTCCTCCACGCAAGCCCCCTTTCTCGGGGAATTCTTTCAAAACTGCAGATGGGACTTGTACTTTGGGGTATATTCAGGAAACAAGGACACGTGGGCCACATTGTGTCGAAACCACATCCTCCTCCAGTTCCCATCAGCGCGGAGGGTGGCAAAGGTCGAGCGTGCACACAGTAGCTGCCCCACAGAAGCCGCGCTGGCTCCAAAGCCGTCCAGAGATAAGGGCGGGGGCGAGGCGGCAGGCTCCCCGGGAGAAATGCCTGCAGGAAAGAACAGGCTGAACGACTACCGAGAGGCGGGGAGCAAAATTTACCAGTGTTCAACAGATACTTAAAAAAAGGCAGCAAACCAATACTGTACAAAGAATACCTAACAATATCAAGGTCACTGTTCCCTAATGTGTGGGTGGATTCAAGCCTACTGACTTACCCACAGCAAAGTCTAGTTTGGTTTGAGCTAAGGGCTTGCACAAACAATTCCTTCCAAGAAGGTTAAAACAATGCGGAGATGTGTAAAGAAAAAAGTTAATAACTTCTCCATCCTTTCAATTCCATCCCTCTGTTAACAATTTTAACACTCATTGAATGTCATTTCGAGAATTTTTCTGTGCTTACACAAATATGTATCACATTTATACTCTTGTTCTTCCTTTTTTGCCCTTAAAAAAAACCAAAAACGACGTCACACTTCACTCTGCGACTTGCTTTTATCATTTAATAATATATCATGGGCATTTCCCCAGATCATTACACACAAATCACACCAATATTTAAAATGCCTATTGCATTATGTAAATAAAGATATAATAGAATGTTATTTATTTATTCAATCATTTAATCATTTCTTTTGAATGTTTACTATGTTCTAAGTACTGGGAAAACAGCAGTCATCGTTACCGTTAAAAATCCCTGTTCTTGGGGAGCTTAATTCTAGTGGAAAGAAATTTAAAATCAATTTATTTAACAATTTCCTGACAGATGAACATTTAAGTTGTCAGTGTTTTGCTATTACAAACCATACAAAGATAAACTTCTTTTCACAAATACCCTTTTGTAGTTTTGCATTTTTAAAGGACAGATTTCTTAAACTGGAAATGATAGGTCAAAAATGTGTACATTTTAAATAAAGATAGCCATTGCTTTCCAAAAAACTTTAGCAAGTCACACAGTTCACAGTCCCCTTTCTTCATATCCTCTTTTGCACTAGACATTATCTCTTAAATTTTTGCCAATCTGATGGACAGAAAATGGTAACCATTTTGAATTTTTCATTCTAAAATTATTAAACAGGTTGAGCATATTCATGTTTATTGGGCATTTGGATTTTCTCTTTGATGATTTTTCTTTTTTAGCAAATAGAACCAAAAGAAATAGAATGAGTACTTGCATAGCCTAGCCCTCATGCTTGATTTTTAAAGTTAAATTATTTTATTTAAGCTTTAAAACAACCAGCATTCATTTCTATGAGACAGATTCTTATCTAGGCCTTTCTGACATCAAACCCTGTGCTGTTTCAAGCACTACTGAGTCTGCTCTCTGAATAGGGCACTTTGGGCCGGGCGCAGTGGCTCATGCCTGTAATACCAATACTTTGGGAGGCTGAGGCAGGAGAATCCCTTTAACTCCAGAGGCAGTGGTTGCAGTGAGCTGAGATCATGCCACTGCATTCCAGCCTGGGTGACACAGCAAAGCTCCATCTAAAAAAAAAGTGCAGACTTTGTAAGTATGTAGCAATTAAGGATATTATATCCAAAATTTAAAAGCAAATAACAAAATGATGAAAAAGTATTTGCTACAAAAATGTCAAAAAATTGCTAACCTATAAAGAATCCAATACAAAATGAGAAGAAAACATAGACTTCTAAAGAAATATTGGCAAATAACCAAAACTGAAAAATCCAGTACTTCAATGCTGGTGAGGATATGATGATGAGACATGCACCCGCAGGAATAATAAAACAATACATGAATAAGCATTTCTAAATGGCAGTCTGGCAATATAGTCAAGTCATAAGCTGCTCACACTCATAAGTTCCATATCTAGAATCTAGTCTCAGGAAATAATAAAAAAAAGAGAGTTGGAAATAAGTGTCCAATATTAATGTTTTGGATCATAGTGAGATATCATCTCACACTAATCAGAAGGGCTATTATTGGAAAGCCAAAAAAATAACAGGTAGCAAGCAGGGTTGTGGAGAAAAGGGAATGTTTACACACTGCTGATGGGAATGTTTAGATCAGTCATTGTGGAAAAGCAGTTTGGAGGTTTTCAAAGAACTTAAAACAAACCACCACCTGACCCAGCAATCCCATTACTGGGTATATACCTAAAAGAATATAAATCATTCTCCCCTAAAGACACATAACACATGTATGTTTACTGCAGCACTATTCCCAATGGCAAAAATATGGAATCAACCTAGATGCCCATCAGTGGTGGACTGTATAAAGGAAATGTGGTACGTATACACCATGCAATACTACACAGCCATAAAAAACAACGAAATCATGTCCTTCGCAACAACACAGATGCAGCCAGAGGCCAGGAAAAGAAAACCAAATACTGCAAGTTTTCTTTTATAAGTGGAAGCTAAACATTGAGTACACATGGGTATAAAGAGCGGAACAATACACATCAGGGCTTACCTTTGGGTGGAGTGTGGGAGAAGGGGGAGGATCAAACAACTACCCGTTGGAGCTGGGCGCTGTGGCTCACACCTGTAATCACTTTGGGAGGCAGAGTCAGGTGGATCAGTTGAGGTCAGGAGTTTGAGACCAGCCTGGCCAACATGGTGAAACCCCTTCTCTACTAAGAGTACTAAAATTAGCCAGGTGTGGTGGCTCATGCCTGTAATCCCAGCTACCCAGGAGGCTGAAGCAGGAGAATCGCTTGAACCTGGGAGACAGAGGAGTGAGCCAAGATCATCCCTTTAGCCTGGGTGACAGACCCTGTCTACAAAACAAAACAAAACCTACCCATTGCATACTATGCTTACTGCTGCCAGGTGGTGCAATCATTTGTACATCAATCCCCAGCAACATGTAATTTACCCATGTAACAAACCTGAACATGTATCCCCTGAACCTAAAATAAAAGTTAAAAGGAGAAAAGAAAAATTAGGGTTTTAGATAACTTGAGTTACATTCATTCAATTGAATATTACATAACCATTAATCTGTTTTCAGAGTATATAATGGCATGGGAATGCTTATTTTGGCTCATACATTTTTAAAGGCAAGATACAAAAGAATATATACAGTGTAATATTTTGCCACTGGCCGGGTGTGGTGGCTCATGCCTGTAATCCCACTTTGGCAGTACTTTGGGAGGCCGAGGTGGGCTGTTCACTTGAAGTCAGGAGTTCGAGACCAGCCCAACCAACATAGCGAACCCCCATTTATATATTATATATAAAGGATCACTTGAGCCTTGGAGGCAGAGGTTGCAGTGAGCTGAGACTGTGCCACTGCACTCCAGCCTGGGGTGTCAGAGCAAGACTCAGTCTAAAAAAAAAAAAATTTGGAGATGGAGAGGTTATCCTGGACTGTTCTTGTGGCCCTAAATGCCATTGCAAATGTCATAATAAGAGAGAAACAGAAGAGATTTTGCCCACTCCATCTCATCTTACACACACATACACACACACAGACATACATACACACACACACACACACGATGTGGAAAAGCAATGTGAAGGAACAGAGAGAAATTTGTAGATGTTGACTTTGACACAAATCAATGTCAGAGCCACTGGAAGCTGGAAGAAGCAAGGAAGGGATATTCCCCAATAGCCTCCAGGGGCGTGTGGCCCCGCTAACATCTTATTTTGTCCCAACGATAACAATTTTGGACTTCTGGCCTCCAGAACTGTAAGACAAAAAAACGTGTGTTGTTTTAAACCCTCAAGTTTGTGATAATTTGTTACAGCAGCCACAGGAAACTAATATAGCAGTGCTCCTGTTATTGCTGTCAAACAACAAGCAACTTCAAACTTAGTGCACACAACCACCAGCTCATTATGTTCATGGATTCTGTGGGACAAGAATTCAGACAGGGGATGGTTAGAATGACTTGTCTCCGTGCTACAGTCTGGAGCCTCAGGAAGAACTGAATGTCTGGGGCTGAAATCACCTAGAGGTTTCTTTGCTGATGCCTGGGCTAAAACGAATTTGAAATTTGAGCTTACTTTGTGTTGTTAACCAGAGTTCCTCTTCATCTGGCTTGGGCTTCCACAGGGTTGTGACTTTTTTTTTTTTTTTTTTTTTTTTTTACCTTCTGCATGAAGTGACTTCTAACATTAGTGGTTCAAAGCTCGGAGAGTCAGTGTTCCCTGTAAGCAGGATGGAAACTGCATGTACTATTCCGACCTCACTTCAGAAATCACATGGTGTCACTTCCACCACCATTTTCAACTGACAGAAGTAGATACAAGCCCTCCCAGGTTTGAGAGGGGGAGACATAAATCCACACTCCATGGGAGGAATACCAAAAAATTTGCAGCCATGTTTCAAACTTCCAGTTTGCCCCATGTGCACAAATTATTTACATTCTTCCACATCCAAGCTCTTTTCCCCCCAAAGTTTCATCTCATTAAAGCACTGGGCTTATGCTCAAGATCCAGGGTTTCCTAATATAAATTAGGTCCAGGTGCAGATTAGGCTCCTTCAGTTAAGTTGCTTGAATACGGTTCCTCTTGATCTGAAAACGTATGAAATAAAGAGACAAGTTTTCTGCCACTCTTCCCCCCAATAAACCCAACACACAGTGGTATAGATATAAGATAATGTGATACTCTTGTTCTAAAGCGCGGAAAATGGAAACATTAACAGTCATTGGTTTATGTTAATTCTGAAACCCATCTGAGCATATGTTGCCCATTGTATTGATTAGGACCCAGTCCTGCTGGTTGCAAATTACTCTCTGGAAATTTTTCCTCTGTTTTGTAGGTCTTTGTTCACATTTTCTGAGTTATCCTTTCTTTTCCATAAAAAACTAGCCTGTGCAGAGTTTCAGCCTGCTGTCTGACTAGAAGTCTGGGGAGCCTTATTTTATTTTGTACTACCTGTTCCCTTCGAACAAAGCTGATATAATTCCTTTAATATCTTTGGGGGTTTCTTACGTATCAGTTTATAAAATCCATTCCATTAGATAAGGCTACACCCACAGATCTCTTTGTGATAAGCCCTTCTCTACCTTGAGCTCCCCACGAAGCTGTAGTGCAGCAATGCCCTTGAGATTTTCAGAAGCCCCACTGTTAGAGATTGTTTGAAAGGCTTCCCTAGAACTTTTAGGAGGCCTTTTGTCTACTTGAAAGAGTCTACAAAGGACCACCTTATACCTTTCTTAGATCCCAGCAAGGAGCTTTAAAGTCACATGCTTGGCTTCATTTTTATTCTGAGAACACATTTTTTTAACTGTGTCCTAGGTTTGATCTTCCCTAGAGGTCTTTTATTGCCTTGAGAATCTCCTGTTAGATAAATTCAGCTAAAAGCCCTGTAGGTATCCTCTTATTTTCACTTGAAAGCTGAACATCATATTTTTTATTTCATCTTCATCAAGTTTTACATAGGCAGCTATAACAAGCTGGTAGCACCCTTAATACCCTGCCCAGAAATCTCCTTAGCTAGACCAGTTAAGCTTATTAAGTTCATTTCCTGTTTTACATATTATCTCAGACGACAGTGTTGCCAAATTTTCTGCCAATATATAACAAATATTTTATTTTCTCCAACTTCAAATAACATTTTCTTCACTTTATTCGAATACTCACTATCGGCTTACCTAATGCCTATTTGGCTTCTTCCTGCCACTCAGTC